TAGGGTTCAGGGTTTAGAGTTGAGGGCTCTAGGGGCTTAGGGCTTAGGTCGGGTTTTTGGGCTTATAGGGTTTAGGGTCTAGGGCTTTGTGATGGAACTTCTGCTGGTACAACTTCCAATCACAGGAACGTCTACACTCGAAGCCCTGCCTCAAAGCCAGCCCTGCGCCCACAACAAGGGTCGTAGTTATGCAGCTCCGTCTTTCAGAGAGTTTATGATAATTAGGAACCCTAGACACCCTAAATCCTAAACCCTAAAACCTAAACCCTAAACCCCTAAACCCCTAAACCCTAAACCCTAAACCGTAGATTAAGCCCACTCCGTATGGGTTCAAGTACCCAGTATTTAAGGACTTTGGGGCCTTTTTGGGTACTCAAAACCACAAATAAGGACTACTTGGACCCTTAGGGACTGATTTCGACAGTCTAGCATCTGCCGGTTCCAGGGTTGACGATGTATGCTTTACAGCTTCGGGTTGAGGCTGTGTGTAGAAAGGAAGGGGCAGCGTCCTACCTGATGCAGACATTGAGTATAGACGAACAATCCTGAAGACTAACCTTCAATACCCATGTCAGAAACACAGCAGAATTGAAATCGCTACAATCACCTTTTCACTGCCGTGGGGCACCATCGGCATCCCGTGGGCGACGCCAAGAACACCCTACAATCCTGAACCCTCAGCCAGACACCATACACCCCCAAACCGCCCAAGCGAGCCCCAAACCCTATAACCCTCAACCCGACATCCAAGAACCCAACCCTCCCAGCACCCCGCAAGTACCCTCTTATAGTGCTCTTAGGGTCCTCAATAGGGGGTATGTAGGGTATAATAGAAGGTACTTGGGGGGGGGGGGGGGTGCTGGTACACCCACCCTAAACCCTAAACCCTTAAACTGCCCTACTACGGCGCAAGGATGTCACTCGCTCCGGTCCTTGGCAGCCCTGTGAATGTCCCAAACGAGCTCTACCTGGCAGGGTTTAGGGTTTAGGTTTGGATTTAGGGTTTAGGATTTAGGGTTTAGGGTTTAGGGTTTAGGGTTTGGGGTTTAAGGTTTAAGGTCTAGAGATTAGGGTTTAGCTAGGGTTTAGGGCCGAGGGAGGAGACCCTAAACCCTAAACCTAGAAGCCATGAGACCGATAGTGACAAACCCCTTCGGGTCGCACGGAACGTAACTTCTACACATAGTCCGATATTTCCATCCCCCAAAACTGTTGTCAGCTTCTGGTTGCACGAAAAGGAAGTTCTACATATGGTGCAATTTATCCGCACCCTCCTGTCACTGGTGCGCAGTCGTTCGTGCGAGGTTCTATTGCGAGTACAGTTGGAGCAAATAAGTATTCAGTCATTCAGTGATCAGGAATACATGTGGAAACTTCATTACCAAACCTGCTTCCCGGCTGTACATCCAAACCTGATTTGTACCCGAGGCATTTGAGGAACGGCATTAATAATTGTTCAGGCCTCAATATTACGTCGGGAAACCTGGAGAACGAAATTCTGGAGAGGACTTCGAAGTCCAGTACAAGGCTTCCCCTTAATTTTCATGAACGGAAATTCCTTGATTACATATGGGTATTCTAATCTGAAAACCCTAAACCCTGGCACCTAAACCCTAAACCCTAAACCAGCCTCAAATTTGAGACAATCACTTGGGCGGACGGCAGCCGTGATCTCATTCGCCTGCCCAGGCGGGCGGGTTTAGGGTGTAGGCGAGTAGTCTTTGCGGTTGAGGCTTTGGGTGGATGATGCGTTGATGAATGTGACTACTGAGACTAATTTGCCAGACTAGTAGTCAGGGTTTCTGACTAGCTTGGTGTAGCTAGTTTTGAAACTGCCTGCCACTCCAGTCTGGCACTCTACTTGGTGGTTATGGGTAGTTGTAAAGTGGGGTTATAAGTAGGATAACTATAGCGATAACCCGTATTAGTGGACTTCTTTCCCCTGCATAACCCCACTGAACCCTGAACCCTATAGAACCCCTTAAAGGAAGCCTACTTACATGAACCTCAAGTAGATGAGGGTCGCCGTTGGGTCCGATGGCTATGCACCAGACTCTTCCAATGCAGCAAAGCTGCTGAGAAGTTCAATTCTTCAGGAGTCTGTTTGCCTTTTTCGGTTCAGGGTTTGGGGGGGTTTAGGGTTTAGGGCTTAGGGTCTCCGCACGTCTTAGGAATAGAGGCTTAAGCTTTGCAGGTTTGGTCTTTTCGTCTGAGGAGGCACTCCAGGAACTTGATTCGTACTCCGACGATTGGCGCCTCTGCAGGGCCAGAAAATTGTATTGCAATCTGCGGGAACATCCGGCAGTTTTGCCCCAAACCTCGCACCCCAAGCCGTAAACCCTAGACTCTAGACCCTCAGCCATATACCCTAAACCCTCAACCCTAAACCCTAAACCCAAAACTCGAAAGTGTAATGACCAAACCGTAAAGACTTGCTGGCATGAAAGCACGAAAGCCTAAACTGAAACCACAATCCTGCAGAGACCCTAAACCCTGAACCCCAAACCC